CATTCTGGTGAGAAGGAGTTGGGAAGGCTGCTGGATTCATTCTCGTGAGAAGGAGTTGGGAAGGCTGCTGGATTCATTCTCATGAGAAGGAGTTGGGAAGGCTGCTGGATTCATTCTGGTGAGAAGGAGTTGGGGAGGCTGCTGGATTCATTCTGGCTTCTCCCAGAAAGCATCTTCAAAAGAAGTGCATGAGAGAGGAACATCTCAGCTTGTTTTCAGACAAAGCGACAGAAGACAGCAAAGCCTTTTTTATTTAGAGAAGAACATATTCAACATTTTCTGCAGTTCTGTGAAAGACTGAAATGGCAATTATAGTACACCCAAGGGCAGACATGTAAAGACCTGTAGAATTGTCTGGTATCTTACTAATCATCCCACGGATTCTCACAAGTTACAATATTCTGAGGAATTCTATTTGGGAGGAGAAGTGTCAGTGGAAGAAATGACAGTAAGTCACTGAATCCAGTTCTTTCTTCATGACCCCAGCTTCTCAGTACTCTTGACCCTCTAACAGTTAGGCCATCTGGCTGACATCTCAGCATAAGAAATGATGGACTGGAAACAGTTGGCCTTTGTCTCCCCATTTGAGGGTAGTGCTGTCTCCCATATCTAATGAGCACTTTGAGTGCTTGCTAATGCATATATGCCCACTTCCACAAATACAAATTTTCTTGGTTTGTATTTCTGATACACTTATATTTCTGGTCTATGAACATTCATGATTGTAGTTACATAATAATCTAGACTTCAGTGTTTGTAAGTACTTATTATTGATTTAAACATCACAATACTTTTCAGTAAAGACGGGATTCATTTAAAATTCAGGTTTTGAAGTCATAGTGAGGAGGGCTTGGATCCTTACTTTGTTGCTTCCTAAGTATATGTCCTGAGAAAATTGAATTGAATAAGGGTATATGCTCAAAGACAAACACATAGGGTAAATAAAACATCCAGAAATGGTAATTAATGATAGTTAAATTTGGTATCAAATCTGGAAAAATCAATGGTAATCTATAAAATTACATGATTTTCCTCTATTTTCCTATATTATGGTAACTTCCAGGAGAAACGGGATCCTGCAGTGAAAACTTGTACAGCATTCATTTGGTTTGAGAGTATTTCTGCTCATTGGGACAAGTGTGGAGTATCAGTTGGGAGAAGAGCAAAACTGAGGTTTTGGACCTACATATGGCCTCTAGACTCTATACCTTTCATCCTGACCTAACCCTTGGGATAGAAGGTAGAATTAGGATTCTAGGAAGCAGGGCAGGAGGGCACTATAGACACTGGCCTCCTGTTCAGCAGAAATCCTTTGTGAAGGTGTGTGTAGGATAGAGCGAGAGAAAAAGAGCAAAAGGGAAGACTATAAGCAGACATCTTGTGAACTGCTATAGCAGTGACCCAGACAAGGAGTCAAGGGACGTTGAGACAGAAACAGAAGATGGGGTCAAGGCTGGGGACATGCGTGGAGGTAGGCAAAGGACATTCAGTCGTGTCTTCAGAGTTGCTGACTGCAGAGCTTGGAGCAAGAGTGCTGTCTTAACCTGTTTTGTGCTGCTACAACAGAACCTCATGGGCAATTTATAAAGAGGAGAATGTATTTGCTTTGTGTTTCTGAGTGCAGAATACCCAAGAGTACCACAGTCATACTGTTCAGCATCTGCTGAGGGACTGCAGCTGCGTCATCCCGTTGTGGAAGGTGAAGGAACCCAAGAATGTGCAAGAGTGAGAGTTTCCAGCTCACTTCTATTTATACTTTAACATATTTATTTATCACTTATCTATTTGTTTATTTTTGAGACAGGGTAGCTGTATCCCAGGTTGGCTGCAAACAAACTACCTATGTAGTCGGGGATGACCTTGAATTTCTGAGCCTCCTGCTCCCACTCTCAAGAGCCAGTTCCTTCAACATCTAACCTATTCCTACAATAACTAGCTTATTCCCACAGTAATGGAATTAATCCATTCCTGAGGGCTCTGTCCTCATGATCTAACCACCTAGGACTTGGCTATAGTACTGTGGTACTAAGGATTTAGGTCTATATTAAATATGAACATGACCTTGAGGGGAATGCATTCAAGCCATAGAAGGTACTATTGATCAAGATGGAGAGGTCAGTAGTTGAAACTCTTTTCTTGATGAGGTAATCCACTTCTCTGGGATATCTTGGCTCTTGATTTCTTTCATTTCACTTCAGTTCACTTATTCATGCATCAAAAACCCCATATGGGCACTGGATGTGTGTCTGGCAGTACAATGCTAAGCTCTGTGATACTAGGGGAATAGAAAGTTGTATCCCATCCTTAACTGGGTGGGGAGAAGGTGACAAATAACAAGCAATTACAATACAAGGTGAGTAGTGTTAAGACTGAGGCCCACCAAGGACACCAAGGAAACATAGAGGAGGTGCATCTAACTAGACTGGGGGATGGGGTAGAGAAATGAGGTAATGTCTCAGTTGAGTCATGAAGGATGGCCAGGGTGAGCCAGGCAAGAGTAGGGAGAAGGGCATTTCATGGAGAGGAGTAGCAGGTTCAAAGGCCCAGAGGCAAGGAAATGAATAGCATAAGTGTGATCCCTGCCAAGTTCTTAGGTATGACTGGAATGTAGAATGCAGGAAGGGGCGATGGCATGGATGATGTTAGAAGGATGACCAAGGGGGACACACATATGCTGTTCTAAGGGATTTTAAAGTGTAAAGTGATAGAATTTAATTTGAGACTTAGGAAGGTAACTTTAGCATATCAGTGTGGGTGAGGTTCAAACTGGAGTACAGTCAGTATGTATGGTAGATAGAATCAGCCCATTGTCTTCATTATGAGGGCTTAGACTTTAACGGCTATTGGGATAAAATAACATAGACAGATTCCAGTGGAATGAAGAAGGTGTCATCAGCTACAGTGATAACTGATTGGATGGTGGGAAGGGAGGAGAATGGATATCTAAATATCAAGAATTTCTGGTTTGGGAATAAGGATGAAGGGAGTGAGTGATTTTATTTAATTTTTTTCCTAGTAGAAAGAGGATTAATTGAGAGTTGGTTAGGTATGCATAATCAGGGGATTAACAATTGGTGCTTTACGTTTTCATGACTATTAGTTGAATGCTTTTGAAGGATTTTTAACCTCCTAACTTTTCTTAGTGAAAATGATGTTTAAGTATATAATTATGATGTGAGTAAAACTAAGATGTGAACCCAGCTCTCAAATAGTTCAATGGTTAACAGCCTTGTTTGAGAAACGGTAACAGTTTGCAGTGCAAGTTGGTGGCTTCTTATTCAAATGCTTCAGATCAGAGTTTCAGATTTAAAACATTTTTGGACTCGGTGTGTATGTTTATGTGTGTGTGTGTGTGTGTGTGTGTGTGTGTGTGTGTGTGTGTGTGTAAGAAAGAGAGAGAGAGATGATGATGATGATGATGAGATAAAATTCAGATAGGACCCAACTATAAACATGAATCAAACTTATGTCTCATCTATACTTTATCACATAGTTTAAAGATAATTTCACACAATTTTCTTAGTTCACAAGTGGTTTTGTATGACTTGTCACATGAAGTCAAATGTACAATTTTTTGCTTCTGATGCCATATTAGTGTTAGAAAAACCTTTGGACTTTGTTGTTTTGAATTAGAAATGTTCAAGCTATATGTATATAAGGGCCAAATTAGTGACAAAATATTCAGTAGGTGTGACCACCAGGTTTGAGTGGTCCAGAAAGTTGTGAAGGGAAGAGTTGGAATCTGGAAGTGAATGATGATTCTAAGTAAGCAGAGGAGAGTCATTCCAGACATTGGACAGTGGGTATCACAGCCTGCTTCTTGAACATGTCCTCCATCCCAACTGCAGAGTGGTACACAAACAATCCTAATGCTATGATCATAAAAGGCAGCTGTGTGCCCTTTACTAAAGAAGCTGAGACTCAGGAGGTTTGGTGTGAATGGCACAGATACTAAGGGGTGGAAGAACCAGGGTCAACGCCAGGACAGGTTGTCTCCAAGCTGGTCCCCTTCGCCAGCACTATACATGGCTTCTCTCTGATAAAGGCACCTGCACCTCCCATTTAACACAGTTGCTGGGGACAAGTGTCTTTTCCCAAAGCTGAAGGAGCAACTCTTCTTCAGCTAGGGCTTTCCATTTAGTGTGGCTCTGCCAGGAAGTTCACATGTACATCCATCATTAGTTCTAGTAGTTCTCAGGGGGGAGGAAACATCCAGCATCAGCATCACTATCAGCATCATCTGGGAACGTGTCAGAAATGCAACAAATTCTCAGGCCATTCCTCATGCTCCACTCCTGAATCAGACACTCTGGGAACAAGCCCATAAATTAACTTAAGAAAGTTTTCTTGGTGATTCCATTGCTTTAAAATTTTGAGAACCAAAATTCTCATCCTTTATTCTGTGGGTAAAAATCAAAATTCAAGTCTGTCATGTGACTGGTCCCTCACTGTTGCAATTTGCAAATGGAAAGAGAGAACCAGAGGTATCCCTAGAAAATCCCATCCTGAGTTGCAGCAGCCTGAGAGCAGCATCTGATGTGTGAATAAGCTCCAACTCTGGGGCTCCGTGTAGCTCCTAATGAAGATCAGCCCTCTGGACTTGAGAAATACGTTACGATGTTTTGCTTTTTGAAGATTTTGTAACAGGACCAAAATCTAGATAGAGCAAACAGTCTCTGTCCCAAGCAAATTCCCAAAGATCTCAAGATATAAATCTTACAGAAACTGTCCGGATCAGTGGTTCTTAACCTTCCCAATGCTGCAACCCTTTAACACAGTTCCTCATATTGTAGTGACCCCAATTATAAAACTATTTGTCCCTACTTCATAATTGTAATTTTGATACTGTTGTGAATCATAATGTAAATATCTGATATTCAGGGTATCTAATATGTGACCCCCCAAGGGGGGTTGCAACCCCACAGGTTGAGAACTACTGGTCTACAGTGTTCAAGTAGAACTTTTCACATTTGGAACCTTTCTTGTTTGATTATTGACAGGAAGAAGTGATTGGAGATTTGAAGCCAGGCACTGAATATCGAGTAAGCATAGCTGCTTACAGCCAGACTGGCAAAGGGAGACTTAGCTTTCCTCGGCATGTGACCACTTTGTCTCAAGGTAAAATTAGGCTCAAATTAATTATTAATGGGAAAGGGCTTCCATTTACTTATGCATTCATTCAGCAAACAGCATATGCCAAATACTGTCTTGGTCTCTGAGAGGCCAGTGGTGACCACAGTAAGCATGCCTCTGCTCTCTCAGAACTCATCAGGGTAAGGCAAGATATTGACTGAATAGCATATAGTAACAGATCCTTTTAAATGTGGTACCCACAGGCTGCAGGGATTTACACATAGGGATGCAGGAAGAACTCATTGAGACAATAAAAAGGAAGACTAACAGGTGAGTAGGAATTGAGACAGTGAGGAAGGGGAGAGAGAAGGAAAATATCCAGCAACTGTTCATCCATGTGATGCAGAGGTGGACACTGGAATACAATGTCAGGTCCAGTGTGGTTACCGTTAGCACTGTGCTCTCTATTGAGAAGTGGCATTACTCAATCTCTAGCCTGTGTTAAAGGAAGTGTTTAGAATGGTTGGAAAGTCCTCCTGACCTAAACAATAGTGTACTTAAAACTTGAAGGTATGGAAATCTGGACATGTACACAGTAGCATGTACCAGGTGATGGGATCTTTTTTTACACATGAGGGCACATCCCACATGCCCTATCACAGGTTCTTAGTACACACACAAAGCACCAATTACAACATGGAAACAGATGAGCAACTGATAGGAGATGGGGTGTGGCAGAAGATTCTAGGGGGACACATAATGTCCATTGCTATTACATAATAAAGCATCTGTGGGTTGTTTTGCTTGCTTGTTTGCCTTGGGTTTTGAGGCCACACCAAACAAATGTTTCAGTAGTAGAATGTGAACCTGTTTGTGATGTATCCAATCTCTCCATCAGCTGAGACCACCAGCCAAGTCTAGCTGTGTTTGTCATCCTACCTAGATTCCTGTCTGCCCCCTGACGCACCCCAGCAGCCACATGTCCTTGTGGTTTCTAATTCTGAAGTGGCTCTCTCTTGGAAACCTGGAGAAAATGAAGGAAGTGCCCCAATTCAGTCCTACTCTGTGGAGTTCATGAGGTGAGTCACAGGTCATATCACAGACCACAGTTACTCCCCATATGGTGTTACACAGGGCACGGATCTTCATCTGACTTCAGTCAATGTGGGTTTAAGGTGGTACAAAGTCTTGAGGAAAAAGTTTGTAATTGGGTCAACATATATCTTTGATGAATAGTCATTGGCAACACTGTCCCCTCTACCTTACATCTTTTGTTGCCACTCTTCTGAGCCCTGGAAATTTTTATGCAATGTTACCAACAAGCTGGCCTGCATTTCAGGCTTGAAACTTGCCCTTCTGACTTTAAAGTATTGTATTTGAAGTAAATATTTGATGGCTTTTCTCAGAGGGAAGAACTCTTTATATACAAACACCATGCTCTCCAGATCCATATTACCTTGGGGCAAATTTCTGAGCTTGAGTTCAACTTTCTTCCCTTCTTTTTACATCTTAAGTTCTTGTTACTTAGTTTGGTGGACTGTGGAAATTCATATGGAACTAATGATTGCCGGTGCTGCAGTACAATTTTATTTATTCCTTTAGAGAAGAAAAGGTGAACAAAAGGAATTCCCAATGCAAGGTCTTTGACCTGAGTTTGAGTCTCCAGTTGACTCCGGGTGGAAGCTGAGTGAAGGGAAGTAGTGGGTCCTACATTAAAGATGAGAGGCCCCTCTGAGGCCTTGATGTTGTGGATTCATAAAGAGATCAGCAGGACCTTGTTCCTCGGGCTTTCTGAACCTGGGTCAAAGGGTCCTGTCAAGATCTGATGAGTTATTTTTTTGTCCTGACCTCCCAGTTTATTCCTGGGCTGTGGGAAACAGACATTTATGTCTTCAGATCTTGTTTTCTGGCGGGGCTTGCTGAATTCCAAGTGGCAGAAACTTGAAAAGATTGAAGCAATATTGTATCGGCATCCGTGACGGTAAGGTCCAGTGGCAAGTCTGAATTCAGAGAGAACTACATCCATGCCTTCTCAGTAGTCTGTGCCCATCCATCTCTCTGCTTTATCGATTTGTTTCCCAGCAGGCTTTCCCACACCCTTAAGTTTTGTGGTCTTCAAGCTTAGCAAGAGAGTATGGTATTCTTGCACCCAGCACAATTTTTATGTGCATTCTGCCTAGCCAAATCTGGGTCCTTTTTCATTTTCCTAGCTCATCACCGTGGCCAGTGTAAAGAGAATGTGTCAACTAACCAAGCACTGGTCATACTGTAAGCTCTGAAAGCAACCGTAGGCGGTGGCGGCGGCGGCGGTGGTGGTGGTGGTGGTGGTGGTGGTGGTGGTGGTGGTGGTAGAGGAGGGATTTCAAACCTGGAGTGTGTAGGCTAAGTGTTCAAGAGTGGGAAACCCTCAAGGGGAAACTGTAGAACAACTCTTGGGAAGTGGAAAATGGATGATAGGAAAACCTGGAAGGAAAAAATGAGGAAGGAAATAAGGAAAGGAGAGAGTGAGTAAGGCAGGAAGAGAGGAAAGGGGGAGTAAAGGAGGAGAAGAAAAAAGGAGGAAGGAAAGAAGGGAGGAGGAGAGAAAGGAGGAAGGGAGGCAGGAGGAACACTATGGCAAAGATGAGATCAAGGCTCCTCCCAGAGGGTAGCACATAATCCTGTCTCTCAACATACCTGGTAGGCAAAGCCTGGTGTGAGCCTAGAATAGAAACAATCCTAATCCCGGGTCTAATAGGAGTTAAATGAGCAACACTTGGAGCTCTCAGACTCCATTTTTCTCCTCTAAAAGGCCTAGGGGGAATTTAACACATGATTTACTCCCACAAATAAATTAGACAACATCAACAGAACAAAATGTAACACTTTAAACTTTGCAAAATGCAATTTTTTATCGCCCAGCAGATCATCTGTATAATCCCCAGCAGGATGGTGGTTCTTATTTGCTGTTAGTTTTGCACCAAAACATATATTTTCCCAACTCTGTCTGTGTCTGATATGTTGATAAAAGATGGAAATAGCAGTTTCTCAGTTTTGCCTTTACACTGGAAGTGGAAAATGAAAATATTTGTCTTTAGAACTAGAAGACCCAGAAGAGAATGCTGCCCCTTTAACTCTGCTGTCTCCATGTGGCCCTAGACATGACCCTTCCCTCCTGAGCCTCAAACAACTCCCATAGTTTTCAGTTCCCTCTAAGCACAGCTTGAGACAAGGATTGGGGTACAAGGAATTTACTTGGAAGCCATAATGAAAGTGGAGAGTCTGAGACAGGGAGAGGAGAACTATGAGAATGTGTTACTAAAGGTAATGGAGCCTTTCCTGTAACCTTGGCTCTTCCACAGTATTACATGTCATATAGGTGCTGGGCAAGATTTGAACACTTGTAGCCTTGGGTGGAACCACTAGCTGTAACCCTGAGCAAGCTTGGCAACCCTATGAGCCTGACTTTCTTTAACCAGGAAATACAGATGATCAGGGAAAGAAAAAGACAAAAGATGTCTCTCAGAACTTAGAAGAGGGATCCACAGAAGACTTTTTATGTTTTACCTTGAGCCATTTAGAAAAGATTACAGTACCAGCCATTTGACTTTAAGGAGACAATGTAAAAAGCATTAGAGAAATGTGGCTAAAGGACTCTTTTGCCACTAGTATCAGATGCCACTATGGTAGCCAATATCCTACCTCACCAACTGCAGATACAAAAGCCAGAAAGACCCAACTTGGATCTGCATATGCTCCTCCTACCCATGGCCCAGCCCCTTTGGTTCATTGTTCCACTGTCCAGCTACCATTGGAAGATATGTACTGCTGTTGTCTTCTAACCACACAATGGTTAGCAGGAGCTTATGAGATAGCTCAGCAGGTAAAGGAGCTTGCTGCAGACCCTGATTCCAGAACCCACATGATGGAAAGAGAGACCTGACTCCAGCAAGTTGTCCTCTGACTTCCCTGTGTGAACTGTCATGAGAGCATGCTCATGTGCACATGCACACACATGCATCACATGCATGCATGCACACACCCACATGCATGCAAGTGCACACTAAATGTAAAAAGAAGGCCATCAATTGAGTGTGTGGTGAAGCTTCAAATAATCTCAGTATTTGTGACTCACTTGAAGGCTCTGGCTGCAACTTCACCCAGGTAGAGTCAAACCTAAGATTTAGCAGTCTTCATAGACAGGTGAACCACCAGCTTTCCTCTCGGAACTTTACTCATGAATAAAATTTGTAGCAGTACCGGATGAATTGCTGCAACATTTAAGAAGAATATAGCCCTGTGCCCCTGTGCTGGTTTTTCTAGCCCTCAAATATTAGTATTGAAAACATTTGAAAATTCTTGTATTCTCTGTTACTATGTTTACTATGTTGTTCTTGTCAGTTGAGTAAGTCACCCTGTTTCTGAACTATATACTGAGTCCCAAAGAAGTAATACAATCAATTTAGAGAGACTGGAAAACAGTGAAAATGCCCACCCCTTTGGGAGAAAGTATTTAGGAAGTTAGGGTGATCTAGTGTAAGACCTCCTTGACAAAAGGACCAAAATTAGCAATAAGAAAAGAAGCCTGGCTGGCTTAGATGTCAGCTGAGACTCCAGGTTAATAAATGATGCCTTGTGAAAGCAAGAATTCCTTTTTATTGCTTTACTTTCTAAATTGAGAGTCTCAGAAGTACCTTGCAGACTGGCACATGGTCCTAGAAATTCTGTTAGCCATTGAGGCCTCAGGCTTAGGTGAAAGGGTGAAATGTTTTTGCAGAAATAGGACCCCGAGTTCTACAGGTACATCCCTACAAACTTCAATTCTTCCTTCTGAATGTTCCAAATGAATTCCTGGCCAGAGTGGTAAGAGTTCATATAAATTGACTTCTGGTATAGCAGCTGTGGGAGCCATTCGTAAACTGCCAATGAAAAAGCATGCTCTCCTCTGGCCCACCTAGGACAAACTGCCAGTCAAGTTTATCATTGCCACATTCCATCCGTTTGTCATTTAATTAGTTTAGACCAATATGTAAATAAAGAGCAGCGGAGAGAGCTGAAGGTCAAAAAGATTTTTTTAATGTGATGACTTAATGTGGTTTGGACTTCACACATAGTTCATTTTTGTGGGGAGCAAAATTTGCATAAAACTAGCTTGGAAGATGGGCAGTGGAAGCTGCATGAGTGCATGGGGCTTTCTCTCACTCCTGTGCTGTTGGCCCTCGTGAATCTATGGGATTGTGTCTCTTCCCATAGAGCCAAGGGCTTATCTTGCAGTCTGCAGGTTCCTAAAGGGCCCCTTAGATAGACTTCAAGGGGTCTCTGTACTTGGCTGGAAAAGAACTATATTCTTCCTTTTGGCAAGTGAAACTCAGCATTGTGTTCATAAATCTATGATGAGTCCAAAACACAGTGGGACTTTCATCACCATTAGATTGGTCTTTTCTTATCGCATTGCAATTGTTGCACATATCTCAAAAACGCAGCTATGTTTACCACTACACTGAAATTATTATAGTGACTGAAATTCATTACTGAGTTCTTTTATTTCACATTTCAATAAAGTAGTACATATGAAAACCTACTTCTTAGGTTATTGCTGTCAACATATTGATTGTGGTCTTATATTTAAATGTGCGCACATAAAACCATTCTAAGAAGGGGTACATGGGCTTTTTCAGATTGTCACAGTGGCATAGAAGGTTAAAGATTATAATTATAGGTCAGGGCTTGGCAAGCCTTTTCTTGAGGGACCAGATAGCATTTTTGCTTCACCAGCAATATGACGTCTGTTTCAACTACTCTCCTATACCACTGCCACAGGAAAGCAGCTGTGGTCTGTAAGACTTCAGTAGTGTGTTCCCATAAAGGTTGACAGCTGATGTTATTCCTAACATATCTTAGTTTCTTCAAGCACCCTTATTAAGAGTCAAATGTGAACATCTATTCATATGAGCCCGGTTATTAACGCACATGTACAGATCATGGGCAAGAGATTTAGAGGTGAATAAGCTGTGACGCAAGGGTTAGGGTTTGGATGGTGTCATGAGAGATGTAGGTGAGCATAGTCCAGAGTGGTGAGTGACACGGCAGAGGCAGGGAC